AAATATTGTATCCGCAGGCGTCCATTCCCGGCATGCACGTGGCCGCCGCGCTGATACACCTCAGCAGGATTTGCCGCTTCCACCAGCCCGCTCCGTCCGCCCTGCCGCGGCGGTTCTGAAGTTCGTGTTGCTGCAGGGGGAGGAGCAGGTGGAGAGTAGGAGAAAGAGGGAGAGGAGGAGGAGGAGGAGGAGGAGGAGGAGGAGGAGGAGGAGGAGGAGGAGGAGGAGGAGGAGGAGGAGGAGGAGGAGGAGGAGGAGGGGAGGAGGAGGAGGAGGAGGCGGAGGAGGAGGAGGAGGAGGAGGAGGAGGAGGAGGAGGAGAGGAGGAGGAGGAGGAGGAGGAGGAGGAGGAGGAGGAGGAGGAGGAGGAGGAGGAGGAGGAGGAGGGAGGAGGAGGAGGAGGAGGAGGAGGAGGAGGAGGAGGAGGAGGAGGAGGGAGGAGGAGGAGAGGAGGAGGAGGAGGAGGAGGAGGAGGAGGAGGAGGAGGAGGAGGAGGAGGAGGAGGAGGAGGAGGAGGAGGAGGAGGAGGAGGAGGAGGGAGGAGGAGGGGCGGCGGCGGCGGCGGCGGCGGCGGCGGGCGGCGGCGGCAGGCGGAGGCGGAGGCGGAGGCGGAGGCGGAGGAGCAGGAGGAGGAGGAGGAGGAGGAGGAGGAGGAGGAGGAGGAGGAGGTGGCGCGGCGGCGGCGGCGCGCGGCGCGGAGGCGGAGGCGGAGGAGGAGGAGGAGGAGGCGGAGAGGAGGCGGCGGCGGCGGCGGCGGAGGAGGAGGAGGAGGAGGAGGAGGAGAGGAGGAGGAGGAGTAGGAGGAGAAGGAGGAGGAGGAGGAGGCGGCGCAGGAGGAGGAGGAGGAGGAGGAGGAGGATGAAGGGTGATTCGAGATTGGTTTTTGAGGCGCGGTGCGTGCTCCATCAGCTGCGCCGCGTCGGGGACTTCGCGGTGGGGGGGGGGGCGGGGGCGTCGGGATCGGCCCACAGAGGGCGCCTCTGGCCAAAGCTGCGGCCAGGGAGTTGTCCGATAGTTGGGGCCGTTCGGGCCGCTGTGCGCTTGCAGCCGTACGATGGTCTCAGGTTCGAGGTTTGCGAAAGTCTCTGTTGGCTCTCGGCGGTTCTCCAGCTTCGGAATGCTCTCCAGCAGCTGCGCCTCGCGGAGATCTTTCTGGGGTTATCGTCCCGAACGGCCGTTGGAGAGCTGCTTTAAGTCCCGAAAGCCAGGGGATCATTACTAATTACCGTTAGGGGGACAAGGTCACGAGCTTTGGCTGAGCGTGTCGCTCCGCCAGTTCTGGCCCACCACGCTTCGGCGCGACATGCTATCGACGTCCCAGTCCCCGAGCGTCAACATCCAGAGCTTTTCCTGGCCTCCAGCCCCGCGGAGCGGAGTGACACGCTATCAGCTCGCAGGGCGTAGCGTGTCGCCAGGGCCGCCGCCGCGACACGCGAAGCAAAAGTTCTTGACCGTACAGGAGGCGCACCGAGTAATGGGACAAACAAATTTTTGTTTGCCCCCCCCGGGGGCCCTCAACATGAATGAGTGGGGCAGACTGCGTGATAGAATTCAGCCGCCGGGGAACTTAACGTTTTCAGCGTCCCCCCTGGCATTGTTCTGCCGTCGCGCGGGGAATGATCTTCTATTCGTCCCCCTGCGCTCGCTAGATCACCCGCGGCCGCGGGGGGGGGATTGCGGAAAGAGGAGGGGTAGGGGGTAGGTAAGGGGGGGCAGGGCGTTGTCGAAGAGGTGGACTGCAGCAGACGCAGCGCGCGCACTGTCGCAGGAACCGCAGCGATGAAACCTTTGCTTTTCATCTTTCCCCCCCTCCTCTCGTGCATTTCCGAACGCGCGATTCCACGGACGCACCGCGTCGGCGTTGTATTCTCGCAGTTGCAGGATGCAGAAATACAGGGAAGAGGAGAAGGAGGAGGAGGTGGAGGAGGAGAAGGGGTGTTGAAAACCCTCGGAGCTCCTAAGGCCCTCGGGGGGCCAACGTCAGCGCTGTATTCTCGAAGCCGCGAGGAGGAGCAGCAGCAGCAACAGCAGCAGCAGCTTCAGCAGGAACAGCAGCAGCAGCAAGAGGACGAGGTAGAGGAGTAGGACGGGGGGGAAGAGGGAGGGGGATTGTCCGCCCCTGCGTCCTCGAATTGTCAGCCCGCGGGGTCCTTCCCAGACAGTCATAGATTGTCCGCCCTCCGTCGGTCAGGCTGCTTTGGCCTGTTCGGCTCGGAATTGCCTGCCCCCCCCCGAATTGTCTGCCCGTGCCCCCCCCCCCCCCCCCTCCCCCGGCCTCCAGACAATCCGGGACTATCCGCCCTCCGTCTGCTTGTCCCGCCCCCCCGCTACGGCGGGGGCACGAAGGCCAGCGAAACTATGTGTTTAATCATCTGCCCCAATTTTGTCTTATCGCTTGCTCCCATTAAGGCACTGGCCCACCAACGGGTGCCCCACGATAAAGCATTCTCTTCCGATAGGGCCGCAGAACCATGGGGCACCGTGCGAAGCGCACAGTCGACGAAGGATGCGACCCTAGATTTTGTGCTCCAAGATTTCTTCTCGCAAGGCGCCACTCCAACAGAAAAGCGGAGGCCGTCCGGGGCGCACTGTGGCGTGTCGCCGCCCGCCACCTGGGACGGATATCGCGGGTCAATAGAGGGGGGGGTGGGGCGAGGGGCGCCCGTCCGACCGCGCTCACCCGCCCTGGCGTTTCAACTTAGTCGAGCTGGGCATTTTCACCCAATCTCAAGCCCGGAGGCCCTCACAGATCGATCCGGCTCGGAAGATGGCGCCGAAAGATGGTGTCTGGGGCTCCAGCTCTGGCCGTGACTTTTCACTTGTCGCTACGCTGAATTCCAGGGTGTAGTTCCCACGCGACCGGTTCCTGTGTGTGTGCGTGTGTGCGTGTGTGTGTGTGTGTGCGTGTGTGTATGTGTGTGTGTGCGTGTGTGTGCGTGTGTGTGTGTGTGTGCGTGTGTGTGCGCGTGTTTGTGTGTGTGCGTGTGTGTGTGTGTGTGCGTGTGTGTGGGTGTGTGTGTGTGTGTGCGTGTGTGTGTGTGAATGTGTGTGTGCGTGTGCCTTTTCATGCATTTCAATGACATCTGACGCAATTCTCAGCACAATCAATGCTTTTAGGTAGAGATTTCTCTTCGAAGTAGCTCGGAACCTGTATGCTCTGTTTCTTTTTCTTTTGTTCTAAAGTCTCGGGCTGTCTGCGTTGGGTAATCCGCGCGTCGCCGTTTTCGGGACTCTTGGGATCCTGCTGGTGTGCCAGCGCAGGTTCTCTGTCTTTCTCTTTCTCCTCTCTCTCCTGCTTGTTTTCTTCTTCGCCTTCGTCATCCTGCCTCTTGGCCGTGGCCCTGCTCCCTCCCCCTCGCCCGTGCCTCCTGCTTGAGATCCTACCAGATAGTTGCCGTGTGGTATCATATGGCAGCCTTTATGTTCAAGGCGTCCGAGCGGGGGGTTTAGGAGCTCGCTCAAGGCCTAAGGGCCGCAAATACGTATTGGCTCCTCGCTCGACAGTGCCTGTGCCAAGACACGGAAATATTCACGTATATCCTCTCTCTCATTTGTTCCCTTGTGGTTTGATTGCCTACGCCTTTCGGCGATTGAGGCTTCGCCTCTCCTGGCACTCAACTGTGGTGACGTCTCGGGGAGCTGGTCTACGGGAGCTTGGGTATCTTGATAACGACAACTCATCCAAGTGTGTGTGTGTGTGCGTGTGTGTGTGTGCGTGTGTGTGTGTGTGTGAGTGTGTGTGTGCGCGCCCCACGATTTCTGGAGTCCAAGCCTCCAGGGGCCGAGCGCGCCTCCAAGGGGGAGTTCTTCCTTAGATGCAAGCGAGCTTCGTTGCATGGTAGCTCACCCCCCCTTCCGCCGCCTTTTCAAGCAGCGCTAGGCCGAAAAGAAGGGCAAACGAGCCCCGCGGAGCCGAAGGGTGGCGCAGACCCAGACCCCGTGCGACCGCCTCTGGCTCTCCTGACGAGGGCTCCCTGGGGCGGTGCGGACACCCGTGAGCCCTGACCCACACCCTGAGCCTCCGTCGTCCGTTCTGTCCAGTAGAGGCGTGGGCGGCAGTGGTTTTGAGTTGAAGCTCCCCTGGGTTCCACGTGAGTTCCAGAAAAGAAAGGGCTTCACTTCCAAGGATGGAATAAGCTGCCATCTCTTCCTCGGTGGAAGGCGGCGGAAGGGCGGCGGATGCCCGCAGAAGTAAAACGAGGCCGCCTCCATCTTCGTCTCCGTCGGCGGAAGCCCGCGGAAGGCCGGCGGAAGCAGGCGGAGGCAGAACAGGCGCCCCCCTTGTTGAGTTCGGGTTTCCGGAACTGGCCAAATCGTTTTCCCATGATGCCGCTGGTTTCGCAAGTTTTTGCAAATGCCACATATTTTCGCAAGTTCGCGAGTTCCCTCGGCCCAGGCCTCCAGGGCATCGCGAGCCAATCTCGGGGGGCGCTCTCTCTCTCTCTCTCTCTCTTTCTCCTTTTTTCCCTCTCTCTCTCTGGGTGTTGTTGGCCTCCAGCTTTTGTTTTTGGGGGCAAGGGGGGGTGGGGCGGCGGCGGCGTCTCCATCTGCAGGCCATGGTGCGACCCGCGGCCGAAAGACCAGCTACAGGGATCTGGGTCCTGAGGGTGGGAGTGGAGGGCGATCCCAAGGCCTCGATTCCGCGAGTCTGGGAAGGACGACCAGCCTCCAGGAGGAAGGTGGCAGGAGGAGGAGGAGGAGGAGGAGGCAAGAGGAGGAGGAGGAGGAGGAGGCAGGAGGAGGAGGAGGAGGAGGAGGAGAAGGAGGAGGAGGAGGAGGAGGAGGCCGGAGGAGGAGGAGGAGGAGGTGCGTGCGTGCGTGCGTGCGTGCGTGCGTGCGTGCGTGCGTGCGTGCGTGCGTGCGTGCGTGCGTGCGTGCGTGCGTGCGTGCGTGCGTGCGTGCGTGTGTGTGTGTGTGTGTGTGTGTGTGTGTGTGTGTGTCTGACCTATCGTTCGTCCTCAGGCAGACAAGCTCACGGCCTGTGCAGCCCCACCTGCTCCGATGGCGAGCGCCGCCGGGCGCCCTGCTTCTTCGGCCCTGTCGCCGGGCGGCGGGGCGGCGCCTGGGCGCGCGCGGCGCTCCTCCGAGGCGAAGCGCCCACGGCCGTCGACGAGCCCGCAGGAGGCTCCCGGCGCCTGCGGCTGGTCGGACATCGGGGCTCACGCGCAGCGCTGAAGGATCAGCCAACCCCCTCTGGCTGACCCGGGTTTGGGAGCCACGTGTTCCGCCCTCCGCTGGTCCGGGCTGGGGAGCTACCAAGCGGCCGGCCTGGCTTCGCGACAGAGCCTTGGCTGAGGTGGGTTTGTGCCGACCCGGGTCCGTGCGTCCCCGAGGACAGCCGCCGCGTGGCCCTCAGCACCCCCTGCCCGGGCGAACGGCGGTGGGACGGCCCTGGCCAGGCCCTCGTGCAGGCCGAGACGCCTGGGGCCTGCTTGGACCGCGTGCTGCGCGGCCGCCTGCACCAGCTGGAGGGGCGCCTGTCTGGCCTGGAGCGGGCCCGCGAGGATGGCCCATTGTCCCGCACCGGCACCGCGCTCGAGGCACGCTTGGGAGGACTCGAGCGAGCCCTGAAGAGCAAGGCCGACGCGGAGGACCTGAGGGCGCTCGCGGGCAGCTTCTCCGGCGTCGAGGGGCACGTCAGACAGGCCCTCTCGCGTCGAGACGCAGGCGCTGAGCTGGTGGCGCGCGTGGAGGCCGAGCTGGGCTTGGTGGGCGGTCGGTTGGACGCGCTGGAAGCCCGGGGGCCCAGCGAGGAGGCTTTGGTCAAGCTGCAGGATGCCATGCTGACGGCGCAGGGGGAGCTGCGGAGCATGCAGCGGGGCGAGCGGGAGCGCGCGAGCCGCGAGGACGTGCGCGCGTTGGCCGAGTCGGTGCGCGGGTTCGCGGCCCAGGTGACGGGCTTCGACCAGGCGCTGGGCGACATACCCGAGCGCCTCTCGCAGCTGGGCGCCGAGGTTTCCAGGATGGAGCAGCAGGTCCACGAGCGGCTGCAGGCCCTGGAGGAGGCCGTCCGCGGCGGGTGCGGCGCGGACCGCCTCGAGGAGCTCAGCGGCGGCCTGGCGGCGGTGCGCTCGCAGGTCCGCGAGCAGCTGCAGGCCCATGAGGCACTGCGCGAGGCCTGCGAGGGGCTGCGGGCCCCAGGCACTGCGCGCGGCGGCGTGGAGGCTCGCAGGCGGCTCGAGGAGCTGGACGTCGACCTGGCGGAGCTGCGCCAGCAGGTCCGCGAGCGGCTGCAGGCCCTGGAGGAGGCCGTGCGCGGAGGCGACGGCCCTCGCGGCGAGGGCCGCCTCGAGGAGCTGAGCGGCGACCTGGCGGCGGTGCGCTCGCAGGTCGGGGCTGTGGAGCAGCTGCTGCACGAGTACCTGCGCATGAACGTGACGGACCTCACCATCGTCTTACCTACGGTCAGGAACCTTGGTTTAGCGTGTCGCTCCGTCAGTTCTGGCACACTACGCTTCGGCGCGGCACGCTATCCACGTCGCGGCCCCCCAGGCGTCAATGTCCCGAGCTCTTCCCAGCCTCCCGCCCCGCGGAACAGAGCGACGCGCTATTCGCTCGCAGTGCATCGCGTGTCGCCTGGGCCGCCGCCGCGACACGCTAAGCAAAAGCTCCTGACCGCAAGCCATCCCCGTCCCCACTGGGTCATGGTAACTCAGCGCCGCCAGCGCAAACCTCCTAGGTAGGGGCAATCAGGCCCCGCGAGAGCCGAAGGACCAAGTACAAATCCCCACCTGGGTGGGTAAGTCGGTCATTGGGGCCAAGGCCACGCCAGTGGGGATCGGGATCGTTGAAGCGCTGCTCAGGACCAGCTGACCGGGGTCGTGGAGAAGGTCCAGCAGCAGGTGGACGAGTGCGGGCGCGCCCTGGATGAGAAGGCCTCCGAGGGCCTGGTGCGGCGGCTGATCGACCAGGCCCTGGCGGAGCACCCTCCGGGCGGCCTGCAGCGGGGCGGCCTCACCGTGGAGGACCTGCGCGCCCGCGTGCTGGGGCTCGAGCGCGCCGCGGGGCGCGGGGCGGCCGTCGCCGACCTCGAGCGCGTGGTCGCGTCGATCTCCCAGCTGGACAGCAGGGCCACCAGGGCGGACGAGGCGGCGCGGGCGGCCAGGGAGAGAGCGGACGAGCTCGCGGCTGCCGTTGGCGAGATCGCGGGTCGCATGCAGGAGCTGGGCGCCGCGACCTCCGACACCGGGGAGAGGGCCCGCGAGGCCAGCGAGGAGGCGGCGCGGGCCCGCGCGTGCGCGCACGAGCTGGAGCGGCTCCGCGCGGACGTGGAGGACCTCCGGGCCCAGGCCGCGGCCGCGGCGAAGGAGAGGCAGCAGGCGGGCCAGATCCGCCAGGAGTCGCTCCTCGCCGCCGCGGAGAGGGCGGAGAAGGGGGCCGCCCTCGCCGGTGAGCGGGTGCAGAAGGTGGAGTCCACCGTCGCCAGCGTCTGCACGCATCTGCACAGCATTGAGCGGACTATGGAGGACAAGGCGGGGCAGCTGAGCAACGTGCTCGCCTCGGTCCGGGCCGACCTGTCGCGTGTGGACCAGGCCGCGCAAGCCAGGCGGGGCGACGATCCGTCGCTGCGGGCCACTGTGACCGCACTCCAGTCCGAGTTCCGCGAGGTGGCGCAAGTCGTCCGCGAGAAGGCTGGCCTCGGGACGATGCAGGGCCTGCGGGGCACGATGGCGAATCTGCAGTCGCACGTCGCTGGCCTGGAGCGGACGCTGCAGGAGAAGGTCGACGCGCAGCAGGCGCAGCAGCTCGCGACGGACGTGTCTGGGCTGCAGGCCAAGGTGTCGAGGCTGGAGCAGGGCTGGAAGCAGAAGGCCGACAGCCGCGACGTGCAGCAGCTCCAAGACGCGGTGGCGCGCGGGCCCCGCGGCGGCGAGCGCGGGGGCGGCCAGCACCTGGACGGCGCGGTGTCGAACCTCCGCCAGCAGGTCGCGAACCTCGAGCAGGCGATGCAGGCCCGCGCCGGGGCCGCGAGCGGCGCCGAGCAGGCGGGGGCCCAGGCGCAGGCCCAGCAGCAGCAGCTCACCGCTGCCGTGGCCTCCATGGAGGGGCGGCTCGCAGACGTGGAGCGGGAGGTGCAGGCCAAGGCGCCCGCGGCGCAGCTGCAGCATCTTCGTGGCGCCATCGCGGCCGTGGAGAGGCGGGTAGTGGGCGTGGACCAGTCGCTGCAGGAGAAGGCCGACGCCGACCAGCTCGGCCAGCTGAAGAGCACCGCCGCCAGCCTGCAGTCGCAGGTCGCCAGCCTGGAGCAGCTGCTCGCAGAGAAGGCTGGCCCGGAAGCAATCCAGCAGCTCAAGGGGTTATTGGGCGGGCTTCAGGCGCAGGTCCAGGGCCTGGAGCAGTCCCTGCACGACAAGGCCAGCGCCAGCCAGCTCCAGCAGCTCCGGGGCGCCCTGTCCAAGGCCGAAGCGCGGACCGCCACGTTGGAGCAGGACCTGCAGACGAGGGCGCAGTCGAGCGCCCTGCAGCAGCTGAGGGAGGTGGTGTCGGCGCTGCAGTCTAAGCTCGGCTGCGTGCAGGAGCGCGTGGGCGCGGGGCCCGCGCTCCAGAGCCTGACGTGGGCCCAGCCCGCGGGCGGCCTCTCCAGGCCCGCCGGCCTCGCCGACCTGCCGCACTGAGAGGGGCCCCGCGGCCGGCCCCCCCCCTCGAGGGGCGCCCCAGGGGCGCGCACGGGAGGAATTGCGAGCCTGTCCTCTCGGGGCTGCCCTGACCTCACCTCCTCCTCGCCCCCCTCACCTCTCTGCTGAGCTGTCGCCGCGGGGCGCCCGCGCGACCGAATTCGGCCCAGCCCCGCCCCCGGGCCGCTGCGAGCGCAGCGAGACTTCTCCGAGGCGGGATTCATCCACAACCAACGCCTTGGTTATCGGTCGTCGGGGACCTCGGTGGACATGAATGCATTAGATTCGGGTCCCAGGGGAGCTCAATCTATCCACGTCACCGCCGCCCGGCGTCCCAGAACGTCGGCTCCACAGGCGGCGGATATTTATGAATCCCCGCCTCGCAACCTTGGGCGGGCGCCAGGGGGAGAGGCGGGGCGCGTCCGCTGGGAGCGCGGAGCGCGGAAGAAAAAGGGCGGGCACGTGCGAGGCCTGTCTTGTCGATGATCCTCAGGACGCGCGTGAGCCCCGTGTGTGCTCACCTCGTTCAGCTCTGCCGACAGCGCGCAGCCCTCGTTTCACCGCCCATGTCGTGCCGAAGGGCCTCGGTGGACAAGCACACGCTGATGCGAACACACGCTGTGAGGATCCACGAGCTTGGGAAGGAGCATCGCCCCACCCTGCCAATCTCACGTGCATGTGGGCGAGGGGCTCTCCGCCTCTTCGGACGCCCTCGAGTCGAGCCAGGCTCGGGCTCCGCGATCGGGTCCTGGCATCGCCCCGTCTGCACCGGCTCTGGTGCTCTCGGGGTTGCCCTGCGCTCTCCGAGCGCGGCTCCCCCCTCGGCTCTCCTTCGCGGCGGCTCTCCTCCTCGTCCGCGTGCACCGGTGCACCATTTGCTCAGCCACCGCCCGGCTAATTACTGCTACTCGATGCCTCGTGCCCCACGTCGCCGCTGACAAGCAGAGCGGCGGTGCGAAAGGTGGCCATGCAACTTTGGGTTCTACATCTGGGCCCGCTTTCGGAGAGGGCCTCCTCGTTGATGACGAGGCGGCGTTGCCCCATGCGGCACTGCCCAGGCGGGCAGGCGCAGGCAGGCGCCTCGCCGCAGATGCGCTTGAACTCCTGTGCCCCGCCTGCTCTGCCACCCTCTCGTTCGATGTCGCAATCGTTTCGTTACACGGCCCCCCGGGGATCTTGACCATTTTTGGCGGCGCGCCCGCTGGGGCAGTAAGAGGGGGCGGGCCTTCTCAGAAGGCTTGGAAAGCCCCAGGCATTCCGAGCAGTTTTCTAAGCCCTCTCCGAAGATGCAGAAAACCGTTCAGAAGGCGCGATCCCTCCTGAGAAGTCCCGCCGCCTTCTGAGAAGGCCTTCTCACTCTGATCTGCCCCTCGCCTCGCCTCCGACGCTTCCCCAGGGTGGTCCAGCTTTTCGTCAAGAGCTGCGTTTGGTGCTGAGCATCTTGGAGCAAAGAACCCCCCGGCTGGCCTGGATAGACCCCCCCCCCTCCAAATCGACCGAATCTGGCTCCTGGGGGGGGGAGGCAGAAGCATGTCACACGCCGATGGAACCACAAGGGGTCGGCGGATATTTAGGGTGCCGTGGGGTCCTGTTGGTGTTTCCGTTCCGCTATATTCGGGGACTTGTCGAGCCTTTCTCTCGCCATCTCTCTCTCTCTCTCTCTCTTTCTCTATCTCTCTCTCTTTTTTTTTTTTTCTCTCTCTCTCTCTCTGTCTCGCTCTTTGTGCGTGTGTGTGTGTGTGTGCACGTGCAAGGGAAGCTTCATCGCAGCACTTTTTTCCCTCTTGTTCACACGCCTGGCACTTTCTTTCCGGCCTGCCCTGACGAGTACGATGCGTATGACGATGGTGGTGGTGATTCTAATAATGATGAAAATGCTTGTGGATATGCCGATGAGGGCGATGTACAGGTCTTGACGATGACGCGGGTGATGAGGATGACGCCAACAGCAACCCATAAGCAAAACACCGAATTACGCCAGTTGCGAGCATGAGCTCAACCTTCCGCTAACAGCCACATGCGTTCAAGAGATCTGAAAACACCTACAAACCCGCCCATATTTACATCACCTTCCACACCTTCCGGAGGGGGCGGAGGGCGCAGGTGCAGGGTTGATCGCCTCCCCGCCCAGCAACGCCTGAATTTGTGCGTCCCCGAAAGCAGCCTCTTACGAGTGCTCACGGCAACGGTGCCCTGGTAGGTGCCCCTCCCACGGTTGTGAGAGCACGACGGAGCCTCCGGCGCGCAGCCGCCCGCTCCGCCACGTTCGAAGGCAGGCAGCAACGACGGTGGGGGCGTTCTTCCCCCCCAGTTAGTTAAACGATAGGTTCAGGCTCGATATGTTCGAATGTTTTCGTTGGCAGTTTGCGGTTCTCCAGCTTAGGAATGCTCTCCAGCAGCTGCGCCTCGCCGAAGGCGTTCCAAGGGTGCGTGGAACGTCCCGAGCGGCCGCCGAAGAGCCGAGTTGCGATCCCAAAGCCAGGGGGTAGGATGATGGGGATGCGGACATGATTTCGGCTTGGCGTGTCGCTCTGGTCCACCACGCGTCGGCGCGACACGCTATCCACAAGCGTCAACGTCCCGAGTTTTCCTGAGCCTCCCGCCCCGCGGGGCGGAGCGACACGCTACCCGCTCGCAAGGCATAGCGCGACTCTGGGGATATCGCCGCGACGCGCTAAGCAAAAACCAAAGGCTGAACTCGGCCAGGCTGGTCTCGGCCAGGCCGAATACAGCCCGGGCCGAGTTCAGCCAGACCGAGCTTTTTCCCTTGAGCAAATCATCCGTGCAGCGGGACCTCAGGGTGTGGGCTCCCAGACATTCTCGCGCTGGGGACAAAACACGGCGGGATGTTTTGGCCGTTCTCGACTTCGGGGGCCATCGCTGGGTCCCCAGGGCCGTCAAAACACGACTCGCGATTCAGAAACGGCCCTGAGGAGAGGGTCGGGACTTCCGATGACCTCGCATGGAAGAGATCAAGCCATCGGATATCTGCGCACCCGTGCAGCGGGGCTTGAGGATGTCCCCCTGGTACGGCACCACCTCGATCCTGATCGCGGCGCTCGCGAACAAGAAGTGCGCCCTGCCACTTCAGGCGGCTCGCCGGACTCCGCTCGGCGGTGGGGCTCGGAGGAGGAGGGGGGAGCGACAGGAGCGTGGTGAAGACCCAGGCAGCGTTAGGGGGGGGACAGGCTCGGGGTGGGACGCAGTGAGCAGTCACTCCCACTTGCCCAGTCATCGTCGATAGGCGCCCGATTGCCCACCCCGCCCAAGAACGTGTGGCTTCGCTATCGGGGGTAAGTCGCCAAGATGTATCCCCCCCTGAGCCAGTCGTTCCTAACGTTGCCCCTCAGAGGAGAGGAGGGGACGGGGGGGAGGAGGAAGATGATGGGATCTTGATGTCTCGGGTCTCTGTGGGTCGTCGTCGTCGTCCTCCTCCTTCTCCTCCTCCTCCTCCTCCTCCTCATCATCATCATCATCATCACCAGCATCATCATCAGCATCAGCATCATCGTCATCCTTCTCCTCCTTCTCCTATTCCTCCTTCTCCTCTTCGTCCTCGTCCTCCTCCTCCTCCTCCTCCTCCTCCTCCTCCTACTCCTCCTCCTTCCCCGTAGCCATTTTGGAGCTTACCTCCCGTCCCGACTCCACAGGCGTGAGGCGAGGGGGAAGGGCAGCCCCTTCCACAGGCCTGGTTCCCTCGGCCAGCTGTTCAGCAATCATTCCATCGCTCGGGCGGCCCGCAGCCGTCATCTTCATCGCCCTTGCGTGCAAGTTCGGTGCAGCGGGCAGGCCATGGCCCCCACCAAGGGACAACGCCAATACATCTGCTGCCCTCGCCAGGGTTGCCAGGGCTGGACCCACCAGGACAGGAACAACCAATTCTTGACGCTTCGCGTCTCCTCACCAGCGTCATGGGTAAGTGTGGCGTTCTCTCCGTTGTCGCAAGTGGGGCCGCTTTCCACCGACCTGCATCCTGTTCGACACCTACATGGACGTGTTCCCGGTGACGTGCCGTGATGCCGCCCGCGCCATCTTTGTTGCCCTGTGCTCCGTCCCGCTCTGCGCGTGACGTTTCTCACCGTTTTGTTTTTCCCCACCGGACAGGCTAGGGTCGTTTTGTTTTTTTGTTTTCAAATAATAATAATAATAATAATAGTAATAATAATAAGAATACTAATAATGGTAATAATAATAATAATAAAAATAATAATAGTAGTAGTAATAATAATAACAATACTAGTAATAATAAAAAGGCCTCCCGGCCACTCCCACCCTGCATACCGCGGCCGCCCGACCCCAAGTTGTTCCGACTGTCCTAGTTATCTGGCCTCGCGCCCTCGACAAACACGACGAGAACACACCCTGCATACCGCGGCCGCCAGGTCCCAAGTTGTCCCGAGTGTCTTGGTAATCCAGCCTCGCGCCTTCGACCAAAACGACAAAACACATCCTGCTTACCGCTGTCGCCAGACCCCAAGTTGTCCCGAGTGTCCTGGTTATCCCGCCTCGCGCCCTCGACAAGCACTACGAGAACACACCATGCTTGTCGCGGCCGCTATACCCCATGTTGTCTCGAGTGTCCCAGTTATCCAGCCTCGCGCCCTCGACAAACGCTACGAGAACACACCCTTCATACCGCGGCCGCCAGACCCCAAGTTGTCCCGAGTGTCCCGGTTATCCCGCTTCGCGCCGTCGAGCAACACGACAGACCACAACCTGCGTACGGGGCCGCCAGACCCCAAGTTGCCCCGAGTGTCCCCATTATCCCGCCTCGCGCCGTCGACCAACACGACAGAACACAACCTGCATACCGCGGCCGCCAGACCCCAAGTCGTCCCGAATGTCCCGGGTAACCCGGCTAGCGCCCTCGACAAACACGACAAAACAAACCCAGCGTACTGCGACCGCCAGACCCCAAGATGTCCCGAGAATCCCGGGTATCCTGCCTCGCGCCTTCGACAAACCCGACAAAACACAATATGGCGCAACGGAACATGACAGAACAGAGCAGGAGCAGGACAGAACATGGCAGAACACAACATGTCATTACCACGAGAAAGTAGAGGATACCAGCATATCACGGAGCATACCAGAACAGAACATGACAGCGTCGAAAACGACACAGCACAACATAGTATAACATAACCGAACATAACATCAAACACATTGACAGCTCATACCATAACATGGCACAGCGCCACTAAACATACCATAGTACGACATCAAGGCATAGCGGCGAACACGCCATAACACAACATGCCACACCATAATATAACATACCAGAGCACGAGCATGCCATATCATGACATATCATACCATATCAACATCATGGCAAATAAAAGCATGGTATACAATCGCGGAGCACATCATATCATAGCACGGTGGATCAGAAGGCGGTATAACACAACATCATAACACAACACCTTGGCATACCATCCCATATCTCATTGCCTTCATCGCAGAACATATCATAACACGACGGTGTACCATATCGCCACATACTAGCATAGCAGGCCATACTAAATTATAGCATCCATTTGCGACCCGGCCCGGCCGCCGCGCTGGCCGACGCCGCCAGGCACTGCGCACATCCTTCCAATAGGCGCGCTCACCCTTGGGACCAAACGCCGAAGGTTTCGGTGGGGATCGCCCGAAGCAGAATCATTTTCTTAGGTTGTGGCACGGCCTGCCCCTGCTTGCACGGCGTTCGACTCGTTTCGCGCGCCCGCGTGCCCAAAGCCTCCCCACCAACCCATCCAGAAACGATGCCCAGGGGAGTTGAGTTGATCAGGGAGGTGGGTGAGCATGCAGAACAAAGGGCGGGGGAAGCCGACATATACCCCAAGAGGGGGATGATGGAGGAGGAATCGTCGTCATCATCGGAGGACGGAGGAGGAGGAGGACTAGGAGGAGGAGGAGGAGGAGGAGGAGGAGGAGGAGGAGGAAGTGGAGTTGGGCGAGGACAGGGAGGAGGAAAATGACGAAAAGGAGGGAGAGTGGGGTACTTCGGGGATCCTCTTGCAGCCTCGTATGGGGATTCTTGGGAGCCACTTGGAGGTCTCTGGGGGCTGTCTGGGCGCCTTTCGGGGCCCTCTTGGGGCGCTTTGGGAACTTCGGGGGCGCTTGTGGTACCTTCTTGGAGGACATCGGTCAAACAAGAGGGGAGCTCCGATCAACCTCCCCCTTCGGGAGCACCGAAAGTCGCCTCTTCGACCCCTCTTGGAGCGCTCTTGGGGCGTTCTTGGGCGCTCTTTGGGCCGTGTCGGGGCTCTCCTGGGCCTCTCCTGGGGCCCTCTTGGGTCATTTTGGAGCCATCAGGGGGCCTCGGATGGCCATCGGAAGCGAATCTCGACAACAGATACAACTGATTTCCCATCGGTGTTTGAAGGAAGTTGGCCTCTTGAGGAACTTCTTGGAGCGTTGTTGCCGCCCAGGGCTCAAGGGGAGGATGGTCCGTCGGGGTCGTCAGGGCACCAGGTACAAAGCTCGGCGGGCGGCGGCGGGCGTCGGCTGGAAGCGTCGGCGGCGGCGGAGGACGGCGGCCCGGCCGCGCGTCGGCGGCCCAGGTCGCCTGGGCTCTGGGAGCGTCGTCGGGCACGTGGCTCGGCGGCCGCGCGGCAGCCACGGCCAGCGGGTCTGGCCGACGAGCGGGCGCCGGGGGTGTCACTCCGCGCCCTCCGCATCGCGCGTGTCCTCCTCGCCGCCACCAGCTGCAACGCCACGGTTTCCCAGAGTCTGGCATGGAACAGGTGCGCGAGTTCGGGTGTGCAGCGGCCAGGGCAGCGCCGAGCCTCAGGGACGGCCCCGACGAGTGCGATTGAGGGGTGCCGCGCGGCCCGCCTGTTCGGCTGCAGGCACTCCCGATCCCGTTCCTCATCCCCCTTCCTTCTAAGTGGCTTCCCCCTCAGTCTCGGGTCGGACGCCGGGTGGCTTGGGGGGAAAGGGTGGGTGCGAAATCTGCCGCGCGCTGCTGGTATCGGCCCCGCCGCGGGGCGCGATCCTTAATATGGCGCCTCCAGCGCCGGCTGGTGCCGGAGAAATCAGCTACGTGAGCTGATTCGCTAACCCTCTTTCATTAACTCCCCCATTTCGTCCGACCCGACTGCCGGACTATCGCGCGCGTCCGTGGGCCAGACCCGCGCGTTTCGCCGCAGACGTCTTTGAAGATATGGGAACTCCACGGTTCAGCAGGTTCTTGAGGGCCAGTGGTCTCCAGAATGCGGCTGACACTTTCATGGAGGGCCGGTGGTGTCCACAGTGCGGCTGTCTCTGCAGCGCCGCACACTTTCTCTTTGTGGTTTTCAAACTGGGGACCTCCATGAACATTGCGCAACGTTCAGACGGATGGCGAGCCGATCTTGTTCACAACGGGGGCCTCCGTTGGACACTTCCATGATTTGTGTCATCCTTCCTCGTTGCATTTCTTTTAGTTAGAAGCAAGAGGAATGGAGGGTGGACCCTCTGAAAACAGCGTCATTCAAGGGGGGCGCTTCCAAAGGGTACATGTCGTGACTTCAGACTGGGGATATACGGGAGCATCGTGGATGCATCCTGGGGTTACCCTGGTCCTCCTCCTCACGGTCTGCCCTTGCCAGTCCAATCCGCCCTCTTCTTCTTTTCTTGGCTTGCCGTGTCCAGGCCAGTCCTCCTCCGGCTCCTCCACCTCCTTGCTGCTCCTGCTCCTCCGCCTCCTCTTCTTCCTCTTCCTCTTCCTGCCTCTCCTTCTCTTCCTCCTCCCCCCCTCTAACCGCCACTCCTGCCCAGAGGTGATCGAGAGCCTGGTCGCCCACTTTTACGCCTTCATCTCCGACTCGCGGGTGCTGCCACTCGTGTGGCACCGCGCGCTGCTGATATTCGTGCAGCGCTACAAGTTCGAACTGAGCGACGACCAGAGGCCTGGCCTCCTCTTCCCCTCTTTCCGTTCTCGTGCCTCTCCTCATCATTCGTTTCCCTCTCCTCCTCCTCCTCCTCCTCCTCCTCCTCCTCCTCCTCCTCCTCCCCCTCCTCCTCCTCCTCATGTCGCTCCTCCCCCTCCTCTTCCTCCTCCTCCTTTGCCTCCTCCTCCTCTTCCCGTTTCCTCCTTCTTCCTCTTCTCCATTTTATCCTCATGCTTTCTTTCTCCTCCTTATCCCCCTCCCCTGCCTCTCCTCCCTCTTCCTTCCTCTCCCTCCTCCTCCCTGTCTCCTCTTGCTAAGAATGGGGGGAGGGGGGAGGTGAGGAGGGGTTCAGGGTGGCCCCGTTGGGGGGTCATAGTGGGTCGCACTATGTTATAGGGCCTGCAGGGCCCAGACCGCGGGGCACCGAGAACAAACATGAACAAACAAGCCCGACAAACGCTTCTGTTGACTACGGACTCTGGCGACGTGAAGACATGGTCAGCATGGACAACCTTAAACAACACGAACGACCCGCAGCGAGAAACGGTCCTGGGTATCGGGCCACGTCGTGGGAACGCCATGGCGCCAGAAGGGGGAAGGTGGGAAGGAGGGGTTTTGAGGCGCACCCCCGGGGGCAGAAGGTTCTACGCAGAGCATTTGGGGATGTTCTCGAGGCTTCGAGGTGTTCTAGAGGGTCTCGTTTTTTTGGGGGGGGGGATGTGGGGGGGTCGGGGAGACGGCGAAGGAACGAGGGGGAAGGGGAAAGGAGGATGGTGCATGCAATTAAGTGGAAGCACTCGCGGCTCCTTAGGAGGAGGAGGAGGAGGAGGAGGAGGAGGAGGGCGGAGGAAGAGGAAGAGGAGGAGGGAGATGAGTCCGAGGAGGATGAGGACGAGGACCAGGATTCCATTATCGCATTCGTCCTCCTTGCAGTTGGCAGCCTGGCGGCCCCAGGCGCAGGATACGAGAGCTGATCAAGGTGCATTGCCACGACGCTGTCGGCCCCGAGGTCAGACGCGAGCTGCTTGCGCCCCGCCCAGGCCCGCCCTCCCGCCTCGGGGGGCACAGCAGGGGGAGTGATCTGGTGTGCTGCTCAGGGGTTCAGCGAGTGGGGTGAAAGGCCCTTCTTCCTCCCCCTCCTCGTCCTCCTCATCATCCTCTCTCTCTTCCCCATCCTTCCCGCGGCCTCCTCCGTCATGCCAGAGCCCTCGAAGCAGCATTGTCGAAGGTAGTGGGAGAGAGAGAGAGCGTTGGAGATGTTTTCATTGCGTTCGGAGGTCGAAGGCCCGCCACAGACAGCCAGGTAGAGATGGTATGATCTGCCTGACTGGGCGCGTGACTGAATCTACGCATGACCGGGGCGACAGCGACAGACGACGAGTGGGGCGGCGGCGATGACGGCGACGACGACGACGACGACGACGACGATGCCGACGTTGGCGACGGCGACGGCGGTGGTGGCGGCGAGGGCGACGACGACGACGACGACGCTGGCGACGGCGAGGTCCAGTGTTCAGGACGCGCGACGGGCAAAACGTCGGAACCCAGAGGAGCAGCGAAGTAAAATTCTAGAAGGAGCGCCTCCGTAAAGGTCTGGAAGGCGCCTTCCCACTCTGTCGCGCTTGCCCCATGCCCCTGCGTAAGCTGTCCTCAGATACCTTCGCTGCCCTTGATGAAGATTCAGGGTTCTGTGGTCCGACTGGATCCGTTCCAAGCGCATTCTTGTTTACAACTCGGATCCGTCCACAAACATCGGATTCGCAGAGGATGCGTCCAACAAGCATCGGATCCGCATCGGATCCGTAGCGCATCCGCAATTACCCGGATCCGACGCCACAGGCGAGGTTGACACTCCCGAGCGGGGACTTTCAATTTCTTCGGGGGCCCCTGCACTCGCTTTCGGGTGCCCGATGCTGCGCCTATCGCCCGCGACCTGCCGCCAAACCCCTTCTCCCCAGGCTGGCTGGACCGAAAGTCTTCGTGCGATTTGAGACTTCGGGCCGAAGGCTGTCCTGGGCTGCCAGCGATGATGAAGATGATGCTGATACTGATGACGATTCTGACGACGATGATAATGAATGATTGGGGTGGTGACTGTGATGGTAAAGGCGATGATGGTGATGATGATGATGCTGATGATGATGATGGTGATAGCTGTGATGATGAACATGATGGTGGTGGTGATGGTGATGTTGATGGTGATAATGGTGATGACAATGATGATATCCCCCATCGCTGAAGGAAGGTTTTATTTGATGTCCCGCCCGCTCGACCAGCCTCTTCGGCGATTGTGACATCTTTTCCTTGAACATTCTCCCAAGAGTGAAGGTTGCATTCAATGTCCCGCCCGCCCGAACGGCGTCATTGGTGGTTGTGTTGGTATTTCTCCTATTATTGTCCCATCACCGAGTGAAGGTTCCATTTCATGTCCCACCTGTCGCCGTCGCCGTTTCCAACGCCGTCGACGTATCCGTAGTCGTAAGCCCAAACAGAGCTCCAACATAGCTCAGACAACGTTCAAACAAAGCTCAAACAAAGCTACAGTAAAGCTCCAAAAAAGCTCAACCACAGCTCAAACAAAGCTCCAACAAAGCTCGAAGAAAGCTCCAACAGCGCTCAACGACACATCAACCAACGCTCAAATGTAGCGCAAACCAAGCTCAACTCAAACCAAGCGCCAACAGAGGCAAAACGAAGCTCGAACAAAGCCCAAACAAAGCTCCAGCATAGCTCAAACAAAGCTCAAACAAAGCTCAAACACAGCTCGAACAAAGCTCGAGCAAACGCCAAAGAAAGCTCAACCAAAGCTGAGACAAAACTCCAACAATCTTCAACAAAGCTGAAGCAGTGCGCAAACAAAACTCAAACAAAGCCGGGGCTGGGCCCAGGGCCTGGCCCCGGCCCTGGTCCCCTGGCCCTGGCCCGACCGCCCCACCTCCCCTCCCCAGTTCGAACTGGACGGGGAGGGGCGGGGGGGAATCTCCTTGCCCGCGGTGCCAGGGCGCGGCCCTGCCCCGGCCCTGGCCGGCCCGGTTGGTCCCAGCCCCGGGGGCCCCGGCCCCGGCCTCGGCCAGCCCGGGCCCCAGCCCGAACCCCTTCCCCCCCCCCCTTCCCCTTCGGTTTCCAAGCAGGAGAGGCAATATTTGAAGAGGCCAGAAACAAATTACGCTACCGAGGAACCCCACATACTTATAATATGGCTGGAGTGATGATAGCTGAAGTGAAGCATGTGAGAATGATGTTGGTGGCCGTTGCCCCGCCGATGCCGTTGGTGACGCCACTCAAGGAGGAGAGGTGGAAGAGGAGAAGCGCCGCGCCAGCCACATTTTGCCAGCCCGAAACAGATAGCGACCGCACCCCCAAGGCACCCCCTTGTGGCGTCGAGAAAATGCAGCGCCTGCTATGCTTTGGACGACCGCAGCGCATGCCGGCCGCGGTGAGGGACCACCCCCTGCGCACCCCATGTGGTGTAAAGCAAATGCCACACCCGCTATGCCCTGGACGACTGGCGAGCATAGCGGCCGCGGTGAGGGACCACCCCTTGCGCACCCCCTCTGTCGTCGAGAAAGCGCCACGCTTGCTATGCCCTGGACGACCGTCGTGCATAGTGGCCGCGGTGAGGGACCACCCCCTGCGCACCCTCTATGGTGTCGAGAAGGTGCCACGCCTGCTATGCCCTGGTCGACCGTCGTGCATAGCGGCCGCGGTGAGGGACCACCCCGTGCGCACCCTTTATAGTGTTGAGAAAATGCCACGCCTGCTATGCCTGGACGACCCTCGTGCATAGCGGCCGCGGTGAGGGATCACCCCATGCGCACCCCTAGTGGTGTCGAGAAAGTGCCACGCCTGCTGTTCCTGGACGACCGGCGCCCTGCGCACCCCCGCACTGTACGGCACGGCACGGCAATGCACGACGACCGTCGTGAATAGCGGCCGAGCTCAGGGACCACCCCCCGCGCACCCTCTCTGGTGTCGAGACAGTGCCACGCCTGCTGTGCCTGGACGAGCGTCGCGCATAGCAGCCGAGCTCAGGGACCCCCCCCCCCTGCGCACCCCCTGTGGTGTCGAGAAAGCGCCACGCCTGGTGTGCCTGGACGACCGTCGTGCATAGCGGCCGAACTCAGGGACCACCCCCTGCGCACCCCGTCTGGTGTCGAGAAAGTGCCACGCTTGCTATGCCTGGACGACCGTCGTGCATAGCGGACGAGCTCAGTGACCCCCCCCTGCGCACCCTCTATGGTGTCGAGAAAGTGCCACGCCTGCTATGCCTGGACGACCGTCGTGCATAGCGGCCGAGCTCAAGGACCACCCCCTGCGCACCCCCTCTGGTGTCGAGACAGTGCCAGGCTTGCTGTGCCTGTTGCCGAGAAAGTGCCAAGCCTGCTGTGCTTGAACGACCGTCGTGCATAGCGGCCGAGCTCAGGGACCACCCCTCTGCGCACCCCCTGTGGTGTCGAGAAAGTGCCACGCCTGGTGTGCTTGGACGACCGTCGTGCATAGCGGCGGAGCTCAGGGACCACCCCTCTGCGCACCCCCTATGGTGTCGAGAAGGTTCCACGCCTGCTGGGCCTGGACGACCGTCGTGCATAGCGGCGGGGCTCAGGGACCACCCCCTGCGCACCCCCTGTGGTGTCGAGAATGTGCCACGCCTGCTGTGCCTGGACGACCGTCGTGCATAGCGGCCGCGCTCAGGGACCACCCCCTGCGCACCCCCTGTGGTGTCGAGAAGATGCCACGCCTGCTGTGCCTGGGCGACCGTCGTGCATAGCGGCCGCGCTCAGGGACCACCCCCTGCGCACCCCCTATGGTGTCGAGAAAGTGCCACGCCTGCTGTGCCTGGACGACCGTCGTGCATAGCGGCCGAGCTCAGGGACCACCCCCTGCGCACCCCCTGTGGTGTCGGGAAAGTGCCACGCCTGCTGTGCCTGGACGACCGTCGTGCATATCGACCGAGCTCAGGGACCACCCCCTGCGCACCCCCTGTGGTGTCGAGAAAGTGCCACGCCTGCTGTGTTTGGACGACCGTCGTCCATAGCGGCGAGCTCAGGGACCACCCCCTGCGCACCCCCTATGGTGTCGAGAAAGTGCCACGCCTGCTGTGCCTGGACGACCGTCGTGCATAGCGGCGAGCTCAGGGACCACCCCCTGCGCACCCCCTTGGTGTCGAGAAAGTGCCACGCCTGCTGTGCCTGGACGACCGTCGTGCATAGCGGCCGAGCTCAGGGACCACCCCCTGCGCACCCCCTGTGGTGTCGAGAAAGTGCCACGCCTGCTGTGCCTGGACGACCGTCGTGCATAGCGGCGAGCTCAGGGACCACCCCCTGCGCACCCCCTGTGGTGTCGAGAAAGTGCCACGCCTGCTGTGCCTGGACGCCGTCGTGCATAGCGGCCGAGCTCAGGGACCACCCCCTGCGCACCCCCTGTGGTGTCGAGAAAGTGCCACGCCTGCTGTGCCTGGACGACCGTCGTGCATAGCGGCCGAGCTGAGAGACCACCCCCTGCGCACCCCCTGTGGTGTCGAGAAAGTGCCACGCCTGCTAGCCCTGGACGACCGTCGTGGATAGCGGCCGAGCTGAGAGGACCACCCCCTGCGCACCCCCTGTGGTGTCGAGAAAGTGCCACGCCTGCTAACGTGCCTTGCTAGTTGCGCGGAGCGTCAGGACCACCCCCTGCGCACCCCCTTGGTGTCGAGAAAGCTGCTAGCCTAGACGACCGTCGGCATGTCACCCCCCCTGCGCACCCCCCCCGAGAAAGTGCCACGCCTGCGCCTGGCGACCGTCGTGCATAGCGGCCGCAGGGACCACCCCCTGCGCACCCCCTGTGGTGTCGAGAAAGTGCCACGCCTGCTGTGCCTGGACGACCGTCGTGCATAGCGGCCGAGCTCAGGGACCACCCCCTGCGCACCCCCTGTGGTGTCGAGAAAGTGCCACGCCTGCTGTGCCTGGACGACCGTCGTGCATAGCGGCCGAGCTCAGGGACCACCCCCTGCGCACCCCCTATGGTGTCGAGAAAGTGCCACGCCTGCTGTGCCTGGACGACC